TGGACATGTAATACGGAGACACACATGTGTATGTTGTATTTTTCACCGCCTTTGTGAAAAATCACATTATCAGCTCCAATATATCAATACTCAAAATGTTCACTTTCATTGTGCTAGCGTAACGGCCTAGCTAGTCACTGCGTCTGTGTGACGACAGCATAACGACCTAGCTAGTCACTGCGTCTGTGTGACAAACGTATAACGACCTATGTTGTCACTATGTCAGTGTGACAACCGTATAACGACCTATGTTGTCACTATGTCAGGGTGACAAACGTATAACGACCTATGTAGTCAATATGTCAGTGTGACAACCGTATAACGACCCATGTTGTCACTATGTCAGTGTGACAAACGTATAACGACCTATGTTGTAACTATGTCAGTGTGACAAACGTATAACGACCTAGCTAGTCACTATGTCAGTGTGACAAACGTATAACGACCTATGCTGTCACTATGTCAGTATGACAAACGTATAACGACCTATGTTGTCACTATGTCAGTGTGACAAACGTATAACGACCTATGTAGTCACTATGTCAGTGTGACAAAAAAAGGATAACGACCTGGGTAGTCATTCTGTGTCAGTGCGATATAGGTATAACTACCAAGGTAGTCTCATCATCATGGTGACAGAAGTTCCATATATACATGTAGGAGGTTATTGTCCTAATGTAACAAATGTAAAAATCCACAATGTATCATAATTGCAAAGTGGCAGAATTAAATACATGAGCTAATATAGTCCAAGTGTGACACAAGTAACAACCAACATGAAGGTAGTAATGGTCCCAGTGTGACACAAGTAACGACCTACCAATAGGTAGATATGGTCCAAGTGTGACACACGTAACGACCTACATGTAGGTAGTAATGGTCCCAGTGTGACACAAGTAACGACCTACAAGTAGGTAGTAATGTTCCCAGTGTTACACAAGTACCGACCTACATGTAGGTAGTAATGTCCCAGTGTGACACAAGTAACGACCTACATGTAGGTAGTAATGGTCCCAGTGTGACACAAGTAACGACCTACATGTAGGTAGTAATGGTCCCAGTGTGACACAAGTAACGACCATATGTAGGTAGTTTAAATCCCAGTGTGACACAAGTAACGACCTACATCTAAGTAATGTATTTATAGTCCCAGTGTGACACAAGTAACAACCTACATGTAGGTAGTATTATAGTCTCAGTGTAAAACAGGTAACAACCTACATGTAGGTATGTTATTTATAGTCTCAGTGTAAAACAGATAACAACCTACATGTAGGTACGTGTATTTATAGTCTCAGTGTAAAAGAAATAACAGCCTACATGTAGGCACGTGTATTTATAGTCTCAGTGTAAAAGAAATAACAGACTACATGTAGGTACGTGTATTTATAGTCTCAGTGTAAAACAGATAACAACCTACATGTAGGTACGTGTATTTATAGTCTCAGTGTAAAAGAAATAACAGCCTACATGTAGGTACGTGTATTTATAGTCTCAGTATAAAACAGATAACACCCTACATGTAGGTACGTGTATTTATAGTCTCAGTGTAAACAGATAACAACCTACATGTAGGTACGTGTATTTATAGTCTCAGTGTAAAACACATCACAACCTACATGTAGGTACGTGTATTTATACTCTCAGTGTAAAACACATCACAACCTACATGTAGGTACGTGTATTTATAGTCTCAGTGTAAACAGATAACAACCTACATGTAGGTACGTGTATTTATAGTCTCATTGTAAAAGAAATAACAACCTACATGTAGGTACATGTATTGATAGTCTCAGTGTAAAACAGAACCTACTTGTAGGTACGTGTATTTATAGTCTCAGTGTAAACAGATAACAACCTACATGTAGGTACGTGTATTTATAGTCTCAGTGTAAAAGAAATAACAGCCTACATGTAGGTACGTGTATTTATAGTCTCAGTGTAAAAGAAATAACAGCCTACATGTAGGTACGTGTATTTATAGTCTCAGTGTAAAAGAAATAACAGCCTACATGTAGGTACGTGTATTTATAGTCTCAGTGTAAAAGAAATAACAGCCTACATGTAGGTACGTGTATTTATAGTCTCAGTGTAAAGCACATCACAACCTACATGTTGGTAGTTTTAATCCCAGTATGACATATGTAATGATGTAGGTAGCCTTGGACACAGTAGGTAATCGTACCTGCAGTCTTTGCTGTTCCCCCATCTGCACTGGATAGTTAACGGTAGATGTATCCCTGTAGGTTACTACTATCTATTTAGCCTCTTAACGGCTGTGATATAATAGAATCTAAATACAAATCTCATCATTTATGTATTATTTAATATTCTGCTTCACTTTTAAATATATTATTGATATACAATCACTGCATGGTACGCCGTGTAATACATACATGTATGTGGCGCTGTTTCACTATCTTGATGTCGATGACCTAATAAATCTTATGGATGTTTGGCTTCCCACCTGTTCTTGCAGCTTTGCGTTCTAATTCTCTGCGTGTTGCATGCGACATTGTTTCTGTGTGTGTGTGAGTTGCAAGTATCCGTCAAAATGCCACGCTAACATTCAACAAACAACGCTGGAAATCACGTTTTTTCTGATTACAAATTCATTTTATAGAAATACAAGAACTATTCTTTTTTTTTACACCATAATGTTCAAAAACTAAAATCAAAATTGCGTATTAACTATTATCGAAGCAAACACGTTTATCTTTACAATGTATCGTGTATGTATATATAGGAAAAAAACTAAACAAACGCAATTCGCATGGTTTAGTTTCTTATCGACGCTGAAGGCTATCTCAGAGTTTCTGATCTTCATGTTTACACCAAACAATGCAGTTTTCTTAAGTTACATTTTTACATAACGGCATATATTCTATTGTGAAAATTTGTCTTGTATCAAAATTTTGTTTTATGTAATAATATGACTATACACCGCTCAATTGTATTGTTTAGTTACATTTCTTTATAACGGCGAACATCTTGCATTTATTATCTTTTATTGTGTTGCTTCTAAGTAATTTACCGCTCAATTGTTTGATAACATTCCAGACCAATGCATTTAACTTTAGAAGTTTCTATTAACATGTATCATCGGTAAACTATACACTGTTAAAGCATTTATCTATGATTCAAAGTGGTAATCTATCGCTGTTAAAGTGTGTTAATATTTGTTAGTGGTAAACTGTTCACTTTTGAAGCCTTACATTAATGTTTACCAGTGGTAAGTTATACAATGTCGAAGCGTTTATTAATGTTTACCACTGGTAAACTTTACAATGTTGAAGCGTTTATTTATGGTTACAGGTGGTAAATCATCGCTGTAGAAGTGTATTAACATTTATCAGTGGTAAACTGTACACGTTTAAAGACATATTAATGTTTATCAGTGATAAATTATACAATGTTGAAGCATTCATTAATGTTTATCAGTGGTAAACTATACAATGTTGAAGCGTTTATTAATGTTTATCAGTGGTAAACTATACAATGTTGAAGCATTCATTAATGTTTATCAGTGATAAATTATACAATGTTGAAGCATTCATTAATGTTTATCAGTGATAAAATATACAATGTTGAAACGTTTATAAATGTTTATCAGTGATAAATTGTACAATGTTGAAACGTTTATTAATGTTTATCAGTGATAAATTATACAATGTTGAAGCATTCATTAATGTTTATCAGTGATAAATTATACAATGTTGAAGCATTCATTAATGTTTATCAGTGATAAATTATACAATGTTGAAGCATTCATTAATGTTTATCAGTGATAAATTATACAATGTTGAAACGTTTATAAATGTTTACCACTGGTAAACTATACAATGTTGAAGCATTCATTAATGTTTATCAGTGATAAACTATACAATGTTGAAGCATTTTTTAATGTTTATCAGTGATAAATTATACAATGTTGAAACATTCATTAATGTTTATCAGTTTATCAGGTAAATTATACAATGTTGAAACGTTTATAAATGTTTACCACTGGTAAACTATACAATGTTGAAGCATTCATTAATGTTTATCAGTGATAAATTATACAATGTTGAAGCGGTTTTTTCCGTGCATTATTTACAACTGTTCGCCATAAATTTTGTTTTCGGCAATTTGCTTTTGTCATTGTTTAATCTCAAAGCACCGGAATTCTTTATTTGAATGTAGCTATTAGTCCATTGATATTGCATTGTTTTATACAGACACAGATGTAAGCTGGGACTACACAATCCTTCCTTCCCGCAAATATCTATATCCTATAATATCACGATGTCTGGTAATTAGGGATACAATCTAGCATAAAGTGTCGTCTACATTCTTATGACGATGAAACCAGATACTGTACATAGAGAGCCAATGGAAACTTAGCTAATGTTTTTTTACTATTTTATCTCCGACTCTAACTGGATCTTAAATACGTCTCGTTGCCCATTAAGAAATACAATTTTGTTCTAATAGTTTTCAGTTTTTGGACATATTTAAAAAATATCTGAGAAAAAGAAGAAATCAAAGATTATGATTCTCATTTTCAAAAACTGTGAGTTTGATAAATTCTACATGAAAGGATTTGAGAAAGAAACATTAAGTCTGAAGTCAAAGATTATTACAAGAAAAAATATGTTTATCATAATTATATTATTATTATTTCATTTACAAAAGTGAATATTTAAATGAAGTGCCACAAGTGAATAAAGTGTATAAAAATGCATGATATGAATTGCGGGGTCCTTGTGTTAACCTGTCTCGGGTGTCGGTACTAGTAAAATAAGAAAGAACTCACCATATCAGCGATTTGAGTAAGGGTATATCCGAATTGTACTGTGACATTATGCGAGGCATTGTAAACAGGTCTCGCAGCCGTATCGTAGTGAGCAAGAATATTCTGTAATAAACGATGCTCATCTGGCAGTCTGTGATTGTTCTTTTTGGACGAAACTACAATCAGAAACAAACATAAGACTTGCATTAATAAGTAATTTACTTACCATATCAGAAATCTGGGTGAGGGTAATCCCAAACTTAACAACAACCGTTTTAGCGGCATTAAATACTGGTCTAGATGCTTGATTGTAATCATATAAAACAGTCTCCAAGAGTCTTTGTTCGTCTGTTGGAAGGGCAAGAATTTCAATTCCTAGGAAAATCGCCAGAATAGCCAGGAGAGGCATTTTCAAGTAAAGATGCATTCATTCCTATTGACTAAATAACTTCCATTGTTTTAGTGAAAAAAACAGCCAGAATTACACATCCGTATAGTACTAACTACGAACCATTGCACAATGTATACACTAGATTCCGCTCAAAACACGTTGTTATTAATAAAGGACAACTTCACACAAGGCCTCTCCGTGTTAAAGCCAGCTTCGTTGTGTGTGAGCAACCTGACGATACGTATACTAATAGCGCGGCAATGAACCCATTTTACACGTGGGTGTTTTTATATTCCATTCAGAATATGAAACACCTCCTTGGACTTCATTCACGTATATTCCATAGTATAAAAACCCGTATTGTATAACGGCACCACCAGAAGCAGCACACGAACAGATTTATCTTTGATACTTGTTACCAATATTTGATAGACAGCTGCTTGTCTCAGTAGAGATTTTAGCAAGTGGGCTCAGCACGTGGTCACTAGTTAGAGCGAGTCTTAATGGCCAATCAGATCGTCTCTTAAGAGTAGGTAGTGTCTACACGAAACAGAAAAAAAGAGAATTTGCCAAGAATGTTTAAAACTTGACAAAACTATAAAATAGTTTGATGGTTATATATTAGAAAACACACATGCGATATGCTATCGATTTCTTTTACAAATCAAGCAGTGTGTTTATCTATCCCGGGTTCAAATTAACACTATCGCTGATATACCGCTCCTCGTGTTTTCAATCTCGACTTCTGCCATCTCACAGAAGACCTAAGAATTACACCTTCATCACCAGAGAGCTCGGCGACACATAATACTACCCAACATACGGCTCTCCCGCGCGCGCCTTTCAGCCACGCGATAGGCTGTATCCATTCTAGTAATACGGCGAGGACAAGGCTTAGTAATGGTGAATTGAAAATTACCTATTGTTCATTGGAGAGGAAAAAAGCGTCTACTGTAGGTTAAAATTGGGGAACCATTGAAACGGTCATCACCGAAGCAATCAACATCTAATATGTCTTATATATATAAATGTACACAAGATTATGTAATCTGATTCCGTGATATCGGTGGAGCAAGGATCGATTCGAAAAGGCCAATACCTATTGCTGGATATTTGGAACTGCATTGCGTATGAGGAAATTATTACATACTTCCTCATGGACAGTGCTTGCATATCGTGTCTGTGCAACAAATCATATTTCATTTCCTTCATGTGAGCTATATTGTGCATGGATAACAATCACGTGTTGTATATGGTTACATTTGCCTAGAAAAATAATACTATAAAAATGCATTTCACTATTTTTTTTTCAGATGACTATGTCTAGATTTCAGCTGTCACGTAAATACCACATACTAATGAAGGGTAAGACTGTTATAAGTATAATGTGTCGATATACACGCTATCACGTCCCCTGGTGCGGACGTCAATATACAACCATTCTGATACAATCATATACTGATAGTAGGGCACATGCCACTGCAGTCTCCAATAGCTTCCAATTTGCACAATATCCTTACATAGATCAGGTAGGGTTAGGGTAAAACTTTTAAAACCCCTCTGTATCTCAGGACACCCAACATAGATGTCGAGATATCTTCCATCTTATTGCAGAATTTATGTTATACCGTCCTGTTTTTCAGTCTATATACACAGACTTATCTCCCTGATAACATTACATTCTATCATCAGTTTACCTATAACCTAGTATACATATGAACCTAATCGTATACAGAACTTCATGTGTCGTCTAGCATATATACTAAACCAATCTGAAGCAGAGCTATGATTTGATATTTTTTAACAAACCTGATATCGTCAAAACTAATATCACCAAACGGAAGCAGCGATAGGTTGAGTAAAAGAATAACAATCAAATGTGTTTTATCGCGTTGACGTTGCTTGTCCTGTAATCTAACAAAGAATGAACCTTAGATGTAGATAAGAAATTATCTAATAAACAGACGACAGAAGCATCATTCCAAGCTTCTTCCTAACTATAAACGATTCCAAACTGTAGTGTATTACCCTGTTCACCGATAAATCTGATATCTAACTTCAATTATACTAGCAACTACAATACAAATCTTACATTATAATTGTAATATATTACCCTGGTTACTACAAATCAAATGTGTTATGTAACTGTAATTGTATAAGTTACCAACGACAAATCATATACGTAACTAATTATAGTAGTAACTACAAAGCAAAATCCATATCTTATACGTAATATAGTACCCCCGTAACAGAAAACAAATATTACACGTAATCATAGCAGCAATTACAGAAGTTTAGTAGTGCATATAATATAGTACCTTCGTAACAGAAAACAAATCTTACAAGTAACTGTGATTATACCAGCAATTACTAAACAATTAGTAGTGCATATAATATAGTACCTCCGTAACAGGAAAAACTAAACTGATAACAACAAAAAATCCGATATTGTACATTGTAACTGTAATAGTTTACCCTAGTAACTAAAACAAATCTAATATGTAATTGTAATTATACTGGTAAAAAGCAGTCCGATATTGTACATTGTAACTGTAATAGTTTACCCTAGTAACTAAACCAAATCTAATATGTAATTGTAATTATACTGGTAAAAAGCAGTCCGATATTGTACATTGTAACTGTAATAGTTTACCCTAGTAACTAAACCAAATCTAATATGTAATTGTAATTATACTGGTAAAAAGCAGTCATATTGTAATGTAATAGACTACCCTAGTAACTAAAACAAATCTAATATGTAATTGTAATTATACTGGTAAAAAGCAGTCCGATATTGTACATTGTAACTGTGATAGTTTATCCTAGTAACTAAAACAAATCTAATATGTAATTATAATTATACTGGTAATTACAAAACAACTCTGATAATATATATGTAATCAAGCACCCTAGTAACTACAAAACAAATACGATATTTGTTATATAGTTCCTTAACAAAATAAGCCTACTTTACAACTGTAATGTATTATTAATGTATCCTTAAAAACAATGAAATATATATTTGTAATACAATACCGTAAAATATTTATAAAAAGGTAGACATGATTCGTTATCAAGTTCTGATTGGCGAGCAAGGGATGGGTTCCTAGAAGTGCAATGTATCTAAAAAAAAAACGGTTAGTGAAAATATGTCGGCGTATTATTGTCTTCATCAAGCCATAGCAATGTCTCTCCCATCATATGAATGGTCTAAAACAAGACGTTTATAAGGCACTTTAATCAAAACCTTTCTATATTCACCAGATTTAATATACAATCGTTGTCTGATCTTGCTTTCTCATGTGCATTATGCTCACATTACACGTCTATGGTATTTGGACAACAGGTGTGCCGAACAATATCACAAGATTATACAGCATGCCAGCCGACACATGGTCTTCAAATATCATTTGAAAAAGGCTTTCGCAACTTCGGATCGATATTAGATCAATACAGGGCAATCCTCCTTGGGTGTTAGGGTTACTCTACTTCAAACCCTAAAGAAAACATATCTGTAGTATTCCGTTTATTTATATTTTGTATCTTAAAATTCACGGATGATGATGATGATGATGATGCCAACGAACTGAGTTTTCAAATAGAATCAGCAGCCATCAAATGTCGACGACAGTTACTTGTTTGTATTAAATGGCGGTACATTCTACAGTATAAATATTTTACTTTTAACAAACTTTGAACTAACCAATGAGGTAGTTCCATAATGAAACTACTAGATTTACGTTTGACTTCATCTCGCGCTGGGAATAACCTTTTCTCCTAAGTCAATCATTTTTGCGGACATGAAAGTTCACCATCGTCATCTTCAACATGCAGATCTCGATACCTAAGGTTGTATGTTTACCCATTAGCTGTCGATATCAACGCTCAGTGTACCACTGAAATCGTTATATCACTTAAACAGCCTAGCGGAAGCTGCCTCCTCTGATTGAGTTGTACAGTGTAGTTGATGAGACAAAAATTGGATTCGACTTTCATTCCATCTTCTGGTGAGATATACAATGGTTGGTATCAATTCAACAATCTCTTGTTTTCAAATTAAAGGACATCATGAAAAGGTCACATTAAAGGAATAGACCAAGCTTCTGATAAACGTTCAGTTTTGTATAGAACACAAATAGTTACACAGCCACGTGTATATTTTATCTGTTAAGTTACGTGTCTTTCAAGCCAGAAATCAATGAGACGGATATTAGTTCTGCTTTTCTTAAACCTATTAGTTTTATTATATAGATATATACAGTTTAGTTCTTGGTACAACAACAATCGCTTTAACACCATTTTGCATGTATTTATATCACATTCTTGTCTGCGGTGTGTTCTTCCTCACACTAAGGTCTAATTTATCGTATGCCCTTGCTTGAAAGTTACCATACCCGGCCGTACCTCTTCAGTATTGTGAAAATAAAATAATGGAATTTCCTCATAACATTTATATTAAGATACAAAGAGAAAGGAATGGAGATTGCAGTCCACCTGTTGGAATAGCTGAAACAGTCCTTACAACAGACAGCTATAATGTTCCTGCTAACTAAATGTACCCCACTCTTGCCTGCTTGTTTTCATACGAGATTTCAGTTATCAAAGAACTTATCTACATTTGAAAGGAATACCTTGCCAAGTCTTCCATTTCATTTTCTTAGATTGACATTTCTTTTGATAATAAATAAAATTGTTTATCTGAAAGCAACGTCTTCGGTGTTGATATAAGTATCTTGTTACAGGTTATAGTTACATGTGACTCTAGGATCACATCAATTTTGAATTTATCTCCCCCTATTTATCTGCCCGCTTCTGACAATGACTGGTGTTGATGAAAACGTATTAAGCTAAGATTTATCGGCATCATTGTACCATTGTAACAGAAGCGAAGTTTTATAAGGATGTCACACCTTTATGGTCAATCAATCAGATGATAATTTTTCATTCGTGATGAAGCATTACTGTATTTACGTGTGGAATTTATCTCGATATCAATATATGTACAGAAAGTGAACAAT